GCGCCTTCGCAAGGCACGTGTGCTCCAGCTGGTCGAACGATTGATTTCTTTCTGGTCTCTGACGGTTTGCGGGATTGCCAGGTGTCGATTCGGTCTGAGGTGCCACTGGGTCCACATGTCGCAGTGTGTCTCGAAATTGCCTCGACGGTGGGCAAGCCCAAGATGCGCGTGATGCCTGTGCCTCGTCTATTCCCCGATGTGAGGCCTGCGGGGTGTGCGAGATCATGTTGGGATGAGATGTGGGCCGATGCCAGGGCCCGCATGCCGCAGGGTTATGTTTCGAGACAGGATCTGTCGAGGGCTTGGCATGATTTGGTCGAGGCTGCTGAGACTCAGTGGACAGGTATTTTTCAGATATCGAAACAAGATGCGGGCAAGATGTGCGGTAGAGGGAAGCGTGTGCTACCCAGATTGGTGGAGGCTTTGCCGAAGTTGCCGCCGAAGTTCCCTCGGGTGTCGCCAGCCGTGCTGTGGCTTAGGAGTGTAGGTGTGTCGCTTAGTTGCGCCTCGCGTTGGACTCAGCCGCTGACGCGCATCTCTGCATTGCATTGACATCAGTTCGCAGGTCACTCGGCACGGCACCTGCGACGGTTATGGCCCCTCCTGGCAGTGATGTCGGCAAATGGTGGAGTGTCTTGCCCTTGACTCCGATCGAGGTGCTGGAGACCGAGGCCTTGAAGCTGCTCGCGAGCGGTGTGAAGTACCGTGCATCGCAACTGGCCGAGATCGACACGTCGACCCGCGGATAGGCGTTTGGGAACTGGGCTGCGGCCCAGGCGGGCTCCGGTGCCGGAGGTTTGTCTGCCACGACGCGCGAAGAGGCGCCCCGGGCCCCGCGTGCTCTCGACCGTGAGAGGGCCGCGTCTGCCTGTGCACGGGCAGCGTGGGATGGATTTGCTTCAGCAAGAGTGGTAAAGATGGTGGGAGCTGGAAACAGGAGGGGGGTGGAGGAGGAGGAGGAGGAGGAGGAGGAGGAGGAGGAAGGAGGAGGAGGAGGAGGAGGGAGGGGGGGGAGGAGGGGGGGGGGAGGAGGAGGAGGGAGGAGGAGGAGGAGGAGGAGGAGGAGGAGGAGGAGGAGGAGGAGGAGGAGGAGGAGGAGGAGGAGCGACGGCATGAACGTGTGAGCTGGCCCGCGGACCTCGGCGCGCGGCCTCCCAGGCCTGGCGTCGAGCTGCTGCGCGAGGCCTTGCTGACCTTCAAGCGGGCGTCTGGTGCGGGCTTCGGCCCTGTGAGGCCCAGGCAGCCTGCTGGAAGTCGAGAATGAATGACTCGAGTGTTGCACCGATTGTGATTGTGGCGATAGAAGCTCCTGCATGCTGGCCGGCGTTCTGCACGAAGTGTGCGTTCCTGCAGAAACCATTGGGAGGACTTCGTCCGATTGCATTGATGCATGTGGTGGCGCGTGCGCAAGCTCGTCTCAGGAGGCCGCTGGCAGCGTCTTGGGATAAAGGGGAGCAGCCGGTCCTACTTCTGGGCCTGCGCGGGGAGGCCTTGTGAGAGGGCTGTTTGGCAACAGACTGCTTGGCCTGAATGGGCCACGTGTAAGTCCAGAGGTGAGTCTAGAGGGATTTGGTGCTCCGCTCAAGTTCTCTTGGACCTCCTGCGAGTCTTTGAACAAGTTCAACTCCTGGAGGCTGCTGCCGCCACGGGGTTCCCGCTTTGGCAACTTCGGCTCCAAGTGGACCTCCACAGGGCTCAGAGGTACCTCGCGTTGCGCTCCGTGGTCTCTGAGGGGACCGCGGCCGAACAGACTATCCTTCCAGGGGGCGGTTGGGCGACCACTTTGCTCAAATTAGTGCTTGTCTGTCCCCTGGACAAGGTGTATCGCCTACACAGGACTGTCATGCCGATGGTTGTAGTGGACGACATTACGTTGCAGCTTGTAGGTGGACGGGCTCGTGTTTGTCGAGAGCTCGTGCAGGCTACCAAGGATTTGCAGCGAATCCTAGAGGAGCATGGCCTGACGTTGCACAGTGACAGGGCGCGCGTGCTGTCGAACGGTCGCGTAGCCAGGCACGCCATTGCGTCTCAACTTTCAAAGCGAGCAGGTGCGCAGGCAATCAGACATGAGCGCAACTTGGGTGTGGATTGTACCGCTGGTCGTCGTATTGACACGAGGGCCAGGAATGATAATATTCGACAGGCCAGCAGCGGAGTGAGACGGATGAAGAAGCTCTGGGCTGGCTCCAAGAAGAGGTATGTGTCGGCTCGGATCGCGCGTGCAAGCGTTGAAGCCAGCTTCTCTTATGGCATGTCGATGACTGGCTGCAGCGCTGGAGAACTGGAGTCTGCGAGGGCACTGGCTTTTGCGGCGATCGAGCCGACAACTTCAAACCAGAGTCGGACCCTCACGCTGATGTGTCATGGCAAGCTCGACCCGCTGTATCGGGCAACGATGGTTCCTGTCGTGACGTTCGTGAGGGCACTGTGGGAGTCATGGATGCCTGTGGGGATCTTTGAAATTTCGCTGTCGGGTTGTCTTGGGCTCAGACACGGGACCCAGGTCCAAGGGCCCTGCGGGGCTGTGCGGCTTTCGCTTGAGCGTATCGGATGGACCATCTTGGAGCCGTTCCGATGGGCCACGCACGAAGGTGACGTGATCGATGTGAGAGAGGTTTGCCCGTGGTTTGTCGCGCAACTTCTGGACAAGGCCGTCCAGGCCTGGCACTGGATGTCTGTTCCTCTGGGCGGGTCTCTGGGGCACCTGGCTGGCGGCGCTGTTTGGGAGCCGCTAGCGTCTCTGATGGACACAGTTTTTTTATCCGCGGGTCGAGAGCGCACCTCTTCCGGTCGAAGCTAAGCGGGCCGCGCGAAGCTTGAATTAGGCAGAGAAAAGGAGGGAGGATCTCTGATGGACACAGGGAGGTGCCGATCTAGTGAGTGCAAAGAGCTACCACCACTAACTGATACGCAGAGAGGATACCTCCGATCGGTCATCGTCAATGGACAGTGGCCGATGGCGAGGAAGTGCGTTGCTGGCTTCTCTGCTGATGCCGAGTGTTTGTTGTGCGGTTCTGAGAGCACGTTGCATCATCGGCCTTTTTTTCTGTGATGCCACTGAGCGTTCGCCTGTGCCTGAAGAATTTGGAGTGTTGACGAACAGGGCGGACGACTCAGTGGTCAAGACCTTGCTTGAAAGACGTCTTTGGGCTCGCGCTAAGTTGCCTGTAGGGTGGGGGCCGCCTGCTAGTCAGCAGATCGTCTGGCACCGCCACTCGGGCCTTGGCATGATCCAGGCCCCGAGTGCCTACCTCGACGGATCGGTCTTTGAGGGGGACTGGGCGGAGGGGTTGGTCGCAGGATGGGCGATTGTTACGAGTGCGTCGGACCCTCTTGAGGTCTTGGACGCTGTGAATGGTGTGTGTGTGTGTGTGTGATGGGCCCGTCAAGGACGTGGAGGGTGCGGAGCTGACCGCGCTGGTGCAGTTATTGCAGGTAGCTGTCCCTCCGATTGAGGCCATCACCGACAGTGCGTCTGTGTATGATGGAGTACACGTCAGAGGTCCTGAGCGCACCACTGCGTTTGGTCGTGCTTGGGCGCACCTCTGGCGGCGCTTCTGGTCTCTCCTGGAGGATTTGGGAGGTCTCGGCGAGAGCGGCTTGGTGGTGCGTAAGATAACAGCGCACATGTCCGCGGAAGCTGTTGTCGCGGGGCGAATCCCCAGGTCGGACAAGTTTGGCAATAGCCAGGCCGATCTGTGGGCTAAGCGAGCTGTCGCCAGGTTCAGAGATCCGAGTGAAGTCAGACTTCTCAGGTCTAAGTCTCACGCGCTTATTGCGCGTGTCGCGCGCTGGGTCGGCACCGTCGGGGCTGCGGTGGGTAGTCTCGACTGTGTGGCGAGTCGGCACTCGGCGAGACCGATTCGGCCGCCTGCGATTGGCCCGACTCGGCGCGTGCGAGCGATTAGCGAGCATGATTGGTGTGGCCCCGACGGTAGCCGCTGGTGCCGTCTATGCCGAGTGTTGCAGCCTGTGCAAAGCGAATGCGCAGGATCCATGGTTGTGCGTGATGTGGAGGCCTCGAGGGCTCTCGAGGCCCGCGGGGAGGCTCCGCATAAGTTGGTTGCCTTGGACACCGTGCCACATTTATGGCACCCGAGGAATCCCGCAGTTGCTTGTATGAGATGTGGGGCGTACTCATCAAAGCAGTTGAAGTCTCTTTCCTTCCCTTGCAGAAAGCCTGGGGATCATGGGGTAAAGGTCCTCAAGAGACTAAGAGCTGGTTTCCTCCCTGAGGGAAGAGACAAGGTCTCGGCTGTCATTACAGAATGTTAGCCCGAGGCCTAGATGTGGAGCGGTCAGACGAGCGCCCCGATGCATCGGGAAGAAAGAGGAGGCAATACATCGGCGATCAGCGATCGGCATTATCGCGCCGCATCGGCGGAGGAGGAGGAGGAGGAGGAGGAGGAAGAGGAGGAAGAGGAGGCATTATCGCGCCGCATCGGCGATGAATCGGCGATGCATCCGCGACGTCGCGATGCACCAGCGCCATCGGCGTGAAGAAAATCGGGCCCAACCTCGGGCCGCATCGCCGATGCACCTGCGATGCGGCTCGATCCTCCGACACCATCTACTCGGACCTCATCTGGGAGGCCTAAGAGGGGAGAAGGGAGGTGGAAGGGGGGGGGGGGGGGGCAAAACGGCACCGATGCCGCTAGTCCCCAGATCTCTCCCAGGGCGCGTTCTGACCAGAATCTCCAGGCGACTGGAGAAGGCCTCCCAAAAGGCCCAAGGAGGCGCAAACGAGGAAAGAGCAACGGTATCGGTATACCTTTCCCCCGCTGAAAGGGAAGCTGAAAAGGAAGCGGCGAGGGGGAGGGATCGCCACTCCCTAGGCCTCTCCTGGGGCGCATCCTGACTAGAATTTCCAGGAGAATCCAGCCACGGCGACATGGGCCCCCCAGGACGAGCAGCGGCATCGGCAGCTTGCCCTCCCCAGTAGCGGGAGGCGACGTCTCGAGTGCTGCAGACGCCCGGCATGTCAGGCCGGCCCGCCGGTCCTGACGAATGATGTGGGGCCGCCGCGCCCGAGGCCGCCCGAGCCGGCGGCGGTGGCGCCGCTACTGCCTGTGGATGCACGGCGGGCCCCCCAAACCCTTATATGTATGTGTATGTGTATATATATATATATATATATATATATGTATGTAAAAAAAGACCTAGGGGGCACCCATCTTACTCTAGGAGTTGCAGGGGGCCTAAAAAGAATGACCTCCTCTGCAGTCTCCGCTCTCGCCATCGATCGCAGAATGATGGTGGGCCCCCGAACCCTTCGCCCTCCACACTTTGAGCAGGGGCCGACCGCCCCGGCGTTCCCATAGGCCTGCACCACGAGATGCTCTTCGAGCAAAGGGAGGGTTCTAAGAACAAGCGCAACGTTCTTAGAACACGAAGCCGTTGTGCTAAATGAAGACACCCCCAGCCAAGCATGCTCTGAGAACCTTCCGTGCGGACCACAAGAACAAGCTCTTGGAGCATTCTCTGGTGGGCCTATCGGCAAACCAAGACGCCTGTGAACGTCTTCTCATTCGGCGTTTCGACATTGGGCGGAAGAGGGGGGGGATCTGGCTCCGGAACTCTGCTTAATGCGACTGTTTGCAGCAGTGCGTCCTATGGGGAGGGAAGAGGTGCCAAACTCCGTCGGTCCTCGGAGGCGAGGGCCTCTCTGGAGCGCGCCATGGCATGGGGCGGCGAGGCCGTCGGAGGAAACCCCGAGCAGGGGAAGGAGGGGATCTCGCAATCCCAGGTCTTGCCTTCGGCCTTCGAAGCTCCCACGAGGGAGTTTCTTGAGCGTGTCAAGATATGCTTGACTCTTCCCGAGCCTCCAGAGGTATCCTGGAGACCCGAGGAGTTTAAGCCCAGAGGCGGGAAGAGAAATGTTCATGGGGGGAAGGGGTGTCCCATCCCGTGCTCAGGCAAGCCTCAACCGAGGAACCGAAGCTGCAGTACCTGATTGCCAATACATTCCTCAAGTGGGAAAGGGTCTCCCGTCCTTTGCTCAGGCAAGCCTCAACCGAACAGCCGAAGCTACCTGGTTGTCAATAGCATCCCCTCGCCTGTGAAAAACGGCTGCGTTCCCTGGGCCAGGATTCCGAGCCGAGTCCAACCACAGCGACCAGCATCGCCACGCGGTTGAAACTTCCCTGTCGTGATTCGACTCAAGAGGCGGAAGGCGGCTGTCGACGACGCCAAGCCCGAACGTGCAGCGAAGTGAGCTGGGCTGCCCCCAGGCGGGGAGCAGTCACGGACGACCTAGGCGCCTCCGAGGGATGATCCCTCGAGGCAAGGGATGCCTGCAGTCTAAGGGGCGTTCCTTGCCGAGGACGGCTCGAGTCTGGAGGCGTCCCTCGACGGATGCACGGGACGCCACCCGTCTGGATGGACGCCTCCAGTCTAGGAGGCGTCCCTTGCATCCGTCGAGGCCCTCGGACGCCTCCGCCTGGAGGCATCTTGGGCCTCGACAGGCGCACTGCCTGGAGGCTCCAGGCGGTGCAGCTGCGGAGGACAAGGCTGCCTCCAGCCGGTGCTCTGCCGAAGCCCGCGAGCCCGGTGGCGGAGAGCACCAAACGCCTCTGCAGCAGCGACCGCTGAGGAAGAGCTCGCATCCCCAGGCGCACACTTTTTTTCCGCACCTCTCACCAGCATTTCCATGGAATTGAAGCCCCAGAGTCAAGCTTGAGAACTCCTGGCCATCACCAGACGGTGGCGAGTCGACCTTCGCGCGACTCACGTGCAAGCCGAGACCATGAACTGGGAATCCCCAGGAGCACACTTGGGAGCCGCGGCCGCGGGAGCGGCTAGCTGCGCTGCGGAGGGCAGAGACACAGCCTTGGCACACCCAGGGGTGCCGTCGGAGGCAGTGGCCGCCGCGTGGGCAGAGCCACGTCGGTGGGGGGGCAGGAGCGCCTCCACACGGCTGCCGATGCCAGGGATGCCTCCCCCGACGGGGTGCCGCCGAAGCAAGGCGAGGGGGCGGGGAGTCGCACCCTCCGCATGGCCGGGCAAGCGGAGAAATTGACAACGGCTGGAACCGTCTCCCCGTCCAGAGCCGCTCTGTTGACGGCCCAGGTGGTTGGCAATGGTGCGCCAGGCGTCGAACATGACCAAGAACCTCCCGCTGTGATTTTTCCCAACGCGAGGGCGTCTGGGGGAGGTGGATGACGGGCAAGATCAATCAACATCGAATCGGGACATCGGATCGGATCGGAATGTGCTCCGGACCGTGCTGCACCGGCAATGAAGTCGGACTGGCCGCGCCAGGATGCACACAACAGCGCTATGCAGACATCAGGCGCAATCGGATCTCCAGAATGTCGGATTCGAATCGGATCGAGCCGGCCGAGATCGATGTCGAATCGGACTTGGTCGGATCGAAAGCGTCCCTGGGAGGCAGACAAAGAGGAGCAGCAGCAGCTGGAAGGGGAGGAGCGCACCCCCCCCTCCTTCTTCAGGAGGAGGCGGAGGAGGAGAAGGAGGAGGAGGAGGAGGCGGAGGAGGAGGAGGAGGAGGAGGAGGAGGAGGCGGAGGCGGAGGCAGAGGGAGGAGGAGGGAGGAGGAGGCGGAGCGTACCCCAGGAGGAGGAGGAGGAGGAGGAGGAGGAGGAGGAGGAGGAGGAGGAGGAGGAGGAGGAGGAGGAGGAGGAGGAGGAGGAGGAGGCGGAGGCGGAGGCGGAGGCGGAGGCGGAGGCGGAGGCGGAGGAGGAGGAGGAGGCGGAGGAGGAGGAGAGGAGGAGGAGGAGGAGGAGGAGGAGGAGGAGGAGGCGGAGGAGGCGGAGGCGGAGGCGCCTGCTGGTGCCGCCACCCCTCGGATGTGTCCTGGGGCGTCGGGGTCCTCGTGGAGCCTGGGCCGGGCCAGCAAACTGCCCACGGGGCCACAGGCTGCTCCTCCTCCTCGTGCTCTCTCCTCCTCCTCCCTCCTCCTCTTCCTCCTCCTCCTCCTCCTCTTCCTCCTCCTTCCCTCCTCCTCCTCCCGTCTTTGTCTTAGTAAACAACTCCCCCCTGTCGCACCCACAGTCTGGTCGAAAAAGCGGGCCAGTCGTTTCGCCTGAAACTTCCTCGCCTGAAATTGGCAAAAGTTTCACAGATGGAGGGCGGGTGGTTTTCAACATGTTGCTCTCGTCTTGGCGCCGCGGCATTCGTTTAACAACACATTCCAAACTTCCACGGATTGAGAACGGGTTGTTTTCAACATGTGGCTCTCGCCTCAACGCCACGCACATTCGGTGTACAATTTGCAGGGGATTCGCGGACTGAGGGCGGGTCGTTTGCAAAATGTAGTTCTCACCTGGGCGCCGCGCACATTCGTTAAAACAGATTGCAATAACTTCGCATATTGAGGGCGATTCCTTTTCAAAACGTGGCTCTCGCTTGAGCGCCGCGCACGCTCGTTTGAAATGTTCGCAAGCGTTTCACTGATTCCCATGGTTGATGTACCCGAAGTTGTGGTTTGGGGCGGTTCAGGATTGTCAGGGCGCAGCAGTTACTAGGAGTCGCGGTGCTGACATCCCACGAATGGTGTTCTGGCACGGTTCAAGGTCGCCAAGACGTAACAGCCGAGGTAAACTCGTAACGATGAAGTCCTGATAATGGTGCTCGGGCACGCTTCAGGATTTTCGCACGGTTGCCCTCCGCCAGGGCGATTCCCTCAGCAGAATTGAATCCTTGTAGGGGCCTGTGGAGAGGGAGCTTGGAGGGAGAGCGTCTTCCAACATTGTTGATGAATCTTGGGTTTGCCAGTGGTCCTCTTCCTCTTCCTCCCCCTCCTCCTCCTCTTCTTCCTCCTCTGCATCTTCCTCCTCCTCCTCCTCTGATTCCTCCTTCTCTTTCTCCTCCTCCCCTTCTTCCTCTTCCTCTTCCTCGGTGTGGCCGTAGGTAAGACGAGTGAGAGCAGCGAAGACACGAGCACCAGTACGTCGCACAGCCATAGGCGGTATCGTAGAAGATGAACGGCCACGGGCTACCACTCCCAGACCAACTTGATACGTCATCCATCAGACGGTTCAAACGTGTCCGTGCATGTTGAGATGAGCAAGACCTCCAGCGAAGCGTACCCAGCGCGGCCCTCACCTCCAAGCCGGTGATGTGCGAAGGGCGCTTCGACTTCCAGACGGCGGTGGCTCGCCACGACCACTGACCCGCCGAATGGGGGGCCGCGGCCACAGGTCGGTGTCCAGGTGGACGTCGCTGCCCCTCGTCTCGGCTCGCCTTGCTAGCTCCTCGATCATCGCGCTGGAGGGGTTGTCGCGCGCCCCCTCGCTCTCCAGGTCACCCTGTCGCACGAGGGTGCCCTTCTCGTCGTCGACGCCTGCCAGCTGCATCTCCATGTCCTCAATCGTGGCGCCGCCTCCGGTCAATCGCATTGCCTTGATGGAGGGCGCGTGGTCCAGTTGGTCCGCCTTCGCCGCCTAGTCCGCGAGGATCCAGCCCACCGTGGAACACTCGAAACTGTTGCCCAACAAGGCGCGCGGGCACTGCTCCAAGCTTGTCTTCTCCAACTTCCTGGCCCTCGTGACTCTGGCGGTTATGGTGTGGCCTGGCAAGAAGTCGAGACGCAATTCCTTCTCCGGGCTGTTGGTTGGCCTCCGATGTCCAGATGCCTCCTCTATGCAATTTATGTCTGTGAACTGGTAGGGCGCGCAGCAACACTCGAAGTCCTGCAGTCGACGGAGCTCCGCCTGAATGCGGGCGCCCAGTCCGAGGGGGAAACTGATCGGGAGCCCGACAGGGACTCTTCATGGACAAAACAAATAAAAACGAAGCTTCGCATCACGATCCCCTTGCCACTCCACACCAGGAGCCAGCCGCCGCACAGCGGGGCCTGGGCCGGCGCGATGAAACCGCGCTCGGCGCCCCTCGCCACGGGATCCGCAGCTTCTGGCTGATCCAGAAGAGGCGGTCTGCGGCGCGAGATGTCGCCCGCGCCGATGCGCACCTTTCCTGCCCGAGGTGCTCGGTCATAGTGCCTTGGCCCGCGCGGTCCCTGGGCGCCACGTTCTCGACGAGGTCCACGATTGGAGGGGCCCCAGGAAACACACATAAATACACACAAATAGAAGGACCCCCCATATTTTCCCATATTTTCTGGGTTTCTGTCTCCCCCCCCCCGCTGCCCATATTTTCCCATATTTTCTTGGGAATCGATGATTAATGGTGTCTGTGTGTTTTTTCCCCTCCTGACAGTCGCCCAGCGAGTCCTTGATGGTGCCGCGCGCGCGGGATCTCGCGCCACAAGCCGGACTGGCGGCCAGGTGGGCCTCGCCGCTCCAGGTCGATCCGCGATGGGGTCGGCGCGCGGGCTGTCTCCGACGGTGATGGCCCACTCGGCGCGCGCCGTGCGCTCGCGCGTCGCGGCGGTAGGGGGCCGCATGCGAACCCTACCCCTACCCCCCACGATTTCTGAGGGGGAGGGTGGGGTTCACTTCGTTCGGGAGCTCCCGAACGAAATGAAGCCCACCCTCCCCCTGAGAGATCGTGGGGGGTAGGGGTAGGGTTCGCATGTGGCCCCCTAGGCGGCCTCTGCCGCGCCGAAGCCGCGCGCGCCCCCTTCCTCCAGCACCTTGGGCCAGGCGTACTTCGTCGCCCGCTCGGCCCCACGGGTCGATCTCCGATGCCGCGACGGGCGCGGGCATGGGCCCCGAGAAGTCCAGCGCGCGCCGAGAACGGCCGACCCCGTCGAACAACAACAGCAAAATCGCCTCGTCGCGGAAGTCGGTTACCAGCCGGCGGCGGGAGGCTGGGGCCGCAGCCGCCCCAACAGGGCGAAGCCGAACCGCGACAGACGGCTCCTCGCTGCGTGCTGGCGTCCGGCACCGTCGCCGGCCCGATGATCGGCACGCGGAGTTGGCCTCTCAGGAGTGGCGGCAGAGCCGGCGCCGATCACAACACTCCGCGCGCACCGCTAAGGGCAGCGGGGCACCGCCCTGCATGTGCACCATGAAGCGCCAGAGGGCTGCGAAGCACATCGTCCACTCCCGACGGAACAGCAAGCAGCGCACCCAGCGGCCCACCAATATCTGCAGCCGCTTCTGGGCGACAAACGGCCGCCTGAACGTCGTGAAGGTCACCGACACCAGTCGCTGCAAGATGATGGGCCGTGGCCCGATGTTGCCGAGCTCCCCGTCGATTCTCCATGAGCGACTGAGCCTGGGAGTCTCGCTCGAGCGACTACGTCCTCGCTGCGGGAGGCGCCGAACGCCTCGTAGCAGGTCCTGGCGTCCCTGGCCACGTCGCTGACGCTCTCGGCCTGCGGGCGGCTGGCATGCCGCCCGTCGGTCACCTCCAGCGCGTTCAAGTTGTCGATGTAGACGTGCGGAATCTTCCAGAGGGGGGGGGGGGGGCTTACGCTCCTGTCACTTCCGAATGTGAACGCCCCCGCGGCAGGCATGACCCCCCCTGCAGTGGCGCATGAGGCGACAGCCTGAGAGCCCAGGTCGCCCAAGAGCTGCGGGGAGTTGTCGAGGTGCCGCTCGAACTCCACGATGGACAACTGGCGGCCGCCCGCGCCGCGGATGCACGCGAGGTCGCTCCGAGGCGAAGCGGCCGAACCGAAGCGGGGCGACCCGCGCCCGCTATAAATCTCCGGCGTGGTGCCATCGTCGGTCGTGCCCAGGTGGCCCCGCGCTGGCGCGAGGCTGTGCAGCAAGGTCGCGTCATCGCCGTTCCCGGTCAGCAGGCTGCGTCGTCGTGGAGGTGGGCGCGTTCGTCCTTGCGTAGCTCGCCTCCAGCTGGTAGCTGGCGAACCAGCGAATGCCGAGCGCGAAGCAGACGACGATGAATGCGCGGGGTAACTCAAGCACTCCAGATTAACCCATGGGCGCGACGGCGGCGGCCGGAGATGTCATGCCATCGCCGTGCAGTCCGGCAAACGAGTTGTGTGTCAGCTGGGGCAGGGCCATGAACGGCAACTATCCGCCGCCGAGGCAGCACTTGAGGTCCTCGCTGCTCCGCGAGAGCACCTCGCCCGAGTGCAGCGCGATGCTCCTCCACTTGTCGTTTTGCGGGGGCATCGGCATGTCGCTCTCGATCGTGTTCTGGATGCGGTTCGACGGGATGACGTTCATCACCGGGCGCTGCGGACCCTCGCCCTCGGCGCGGGGGCCCCTCTTCACCCCGAGGAGGAACCCGTGATCTTGCGGCCCTAGACCTCGCAGATCTGATCGTAGCTCATGAACTTGGCGATCCTGCGTTCCAGCAAGTCGCTGGCAATCAACTCCTCGTCTGAGGGCCAGACTTTGGGAGTGGGTGGGAGCGTGTCGATGCTGTCTAGGACCTTCAGTCCCAGGCAGGGGTTCAGCAGCGCCTCCCGGACCCAGCCTTCGGCGACGTCGACGGCCCGCGCCGCCGCGCGCGCGCGGGGGCGGTGGCGCCTCGAGCAAGCGCGAGCGCTCGATGGGGCTCGGCAGGGGAGATCTCTTCGCTGTCGCGCAAGGTCGCCGCGTTCGTCAGTTCGACCTCCCAATTGACATCGGGGGTGGCGCCCTCGTTCTGCCGCGGGAAGGCGCGCGCCTCGAGCTGCGAGTTGCCCGAGGCCTGTACTTGACTGGCGGTTGGCTTTGACTGTGGGGCGATGCCCAAATACCAAATGTAGCGGTAGTTCAAGCTCTCCACGACGGTGTTGAGCCAGCTAAGCCCCCCGGGCGTCGCACCGAGAAGCTCGCCGCGCCCCTTCGCGGCCGCCGCGGCCAGGGGCGCGAGCGGATAGGTGCCGGAGGATCGGCAGCGGCAGAATATCACGCCGTTGTCCCCGATCGGTCGCTGGTGGGATCGACTCTGAAAGGTCGCGCTCGGTGTCCCAATTTAAAACCACCGCGTTCCCGTGGGCAGAATTAAGAAGGTGGCGGGTGTCGTGAAGCTCGCGGCGAATCACCCGCAGTTAGCAACTCCCCGAACGCGCCGCTGATGACGAAGAGGGGGGCGAGGACAAGGTATATGATGAGTTCGACTGGCCGTCCTCCGCGCCGAGCTGTACCAGGGGCCTCGGGCCGCGCGCTGGCAGTTCGGTGCCGGGCGCGTCGCCTAACGGCGGGGCGGGGCCGGGCCCCTGCCTTGGCCCGTGCCGCGCCCTTGGGTTTCTGCCCCTTGCCCTTCCTCATTGAGCGCTTGTTTGCCCTTGGAGCTCTTCAGGCCCCGGTCCTTCGCGCTCTTATTCGGAGGCCGTCCCCATCGGGGGCGCGGGCGCCCCCTGCAGCGCCGCGTCGCCCTTGAAGTGCGCCCGCCGAGCTGGTGGCGGAGGGCGGCCGCCCTCGGCCGACGGCGGCCGAAGTGCTGGGCGCCGATCGGGCCCTGGGCTGCGAGGGCCCAGCAGGGCTGCAAGAGGCGCCCTCGGCGACGAGTGCGCGGCGGGGGCGGCTGCGGCTGTCCGCGGCCGACGGGCTGCGCGCCACGGGAGGGCGGCGCCGGTGCCGACGCCTTCGCCTTCGGCTGCCCCCCTCCGCCGCGTCCTGCGGCGGCTGCCGTCTGGCGCGCCCGCCTGCGGTTCGCGCGCTGCGCGCGGCTGAGGAAGGGGCCCTGCTTCGGGAGGTCGTTCTTCGACGGGATATGGCCAGGATCTGGAGGTGGCCGCCGAGGAAAAGGGAATCCTGGGGTGACCCCCCCCTCTCGGCCAGACGCCGAGCCCTGGCCCTTCTTTGCGTTGGAGACGCTCTCCCGCAGGCTGCGGAGCTCCCCGCGGCGCGCGACGGCGTCGTGGGCTTCCGACTGCAGAGCAAGTATGACTCCGAGGTCGTCGCAGAGCTCCAAGTGTTTGGCTGCCTGCCAATGCCCGTCCTTCGTGGCCTGCTCGATCGCCTGCAGCCGCCGCGTCGGGAGGTCTCCGAGGTGGTCCAGCTTCCCGCGCATGAGCGCGCCCGGGCGCCCTCCGACGGTCCGAATCTCGCGCGTTGCGAATGTCTATCTTGCTCTGCGGATGGTGTCCGTGCCGAGCGCTCGTGAAACACTGCGCCGCCGAGGCTGCCAGCTCCCCCGGGCCCTCTCCTTAGGCAGCTCCTCCGCGCCGCGCCGGGTCACGCTTGGTCGCCCCCGCCCGGCTCGAGAGCAGTGCCCCCAGTGCTTCGCGGGCGAGGCGAGCTATCGGACGGCCTTGATCGACGTGTGAGCCGCGTTCAAGACTTGACTCGGAGTCGCCGTCATCGCGACTTCCTTTCGGGCGCATGGGGCGGCGACCGCGAAGACCTGATATGGCTGCCTCCGCGCGCTCCGCCAGGGTCTGACCCACTCCGCGTCGCCGATGCTTGCGCTCCTTCAGCTGCTCCACCCGTTCTCCTTGAGGTCGCTGAGCGACGGGCCAGCGCTGCCGTCGGGGTCGGCGCCTCCAGCGGCGGCCCCTGGGCCTCCACTGGCGGCAGCAACGCCTGCGGATGGATGCGGGCCTGGCAGGGCGCGGGCGCCTCGCCCGAGGCCGCTCTGCCCCCTCGGCTCGGTGGGGCTACCGGCCGGCCGCGCCATGCAGGTCTCGGCGTGGGGCGGCGCCCGTGGGCATCGCCAGGCAAGACGCTCTGGATGCGACATCACCGCGCCGATCGCGGCCGAGCGCGGCCCCCTCGATGCCCCCCCCAGGCGCTAAACAGAGGAGTTGGTGGGCAATTGGCGGGCCCGCGGGCCCGAGCCGCTTGGAGGGGCCCCAATGTCATGGCCCACTTCGCTCGGCCGCTGAAGCGCCGCTGCTGCGGCGGGGGCCCGGCCCAGCAGCCCTCCGCCGCCGGGCGCGCCAGCCGCGGCGCCGACGAGGCCACCCCGGGGCGCTGCGCGCCGATGGGGGGCGCAGCGAAGAGCCGGCGCTCAAGCTCGCGCGCCTCCGAAGCCTCCGATGCCCAATTCTCCCGGGGCGCGGCCGCTAGGCTGCTGGCCAAGTGGGGCGCCGCCGGGCTGAAGCGGGAACCTCGCGACGGCCCCGCCCGCGTCCGCCGCGGCCAGCGCGCCGCCCCCTGGAGGGGCTGGCACCAGCTCCAACTCCAGCACCTCCAGCCGCGGGTCCAGCTGCCACCGCGGACGCCTGCGGCGCGGGTGGCGCGGCGGCAGCCGGCGGCGCGGGTGCTCCTGCGCCCCCGCGTCGCGAGGGGTGCAGCGGCAGCCCCCGGCGCGCCCGCCGGTCCTCCAGCGGCGATGGCGGCGGCGGTGGGGGCCGCGGCCGCGGCGGGCGAAGGCGCCCCCGCCCGCGCGCGGCCTCGGCCTCCTGCGGCGCCTCTACCTCGGGCCCCGAGGCTCTGGCTGCGGCGGCAGCGGCGGGGGCCGCGGGCGGCGGCGCGAGCGCCGCGGGGGCGGGCGGCGCGGCTGCCGCCCACCCACGCCCTGCAGGGGGCGCGGCCGCGGCGCGCGCGGGCAGCGCGACGGAGCCGCCGACCGCGCCGTCTCCGCAGGCTGCTCAGGCGGGCCCGCGCATCCGCGCCGCCGAGGCGGGCGGCGGATCGCATCGAAGGGAACGCGGGGGGCGCGCGGCGCCGAAATGCTGCTGCCGCGCCCCCGCGGGTCGACCGGCCGGCCCCTCCGACCCTCGCCCCGGGCCTCGCGGGGCGAAGAACTAATTTCGAGGCGGCAGGGGCGCGGGCGGGGGTGCGAAGTGGAGCGGGGCTGCGGGACAGAAGACATAGGATATGATTGACTTTCCCACGGCGACCGGCAAGCGCGACGCCAAGCAGCGCGCTCAGGACCACAGAACGGGATCACCCGGCGCAGCGCGTCTGGAAACCCGCGCAAACACCGAGCAGCACATCCAGGACCAGCGCGCCCAGGGCCCCGACGCCGACCGAGCAGCCCGCCCAGGAGGGCGTTCCCCCTCAAGCACGGGAGGCGTCTGACAGCTACGTTGCCAGCTCACGCTCTGCTGCAAAACGGGGGGCATCTGGCGACAACGTTGCAGATGCCCACCCCGTGGCAGAGCGCATGTGTCAAGGGGCAAAGATCGAAGAGGGCCGCGTGCCAATGGCGCGAGAACAAGTCGTCGAGGACCACTCGAACGCGGCACAGACCCCGCGAGTCTGGCGGCCCCCTCTGCCCGGAGCCCCAGCTGCTGGCGAGCTGGGTCGCGCCAGCGAGCGCGACAAGGGCGAGCTCCGCGGCGACCTCGCCGCGGGTCTGCCTGCATGGGGGCTCCAGGGGTCGTCGGCCCTGATCACCATCTGACGAGTGCTCACACGACGCCTCTGCGCGCCGAGTTCGACTCGCTTCGCCGCCCCCCCCCCTCGCCTACCTTGCCTCCCTTGGTTGCGGCGTCGACGTCGTTGAGGGTGGCGGTGGGGGGCCCCGGGCTCGGACTGGCCGACTTGCTGTCCGTCGCCGTCTCGAGGCCGGCGAGAACTTCGACTTGATCACCAGCTGCGGCCTCAACGACGAGGGCCAGCAACGAGCCGTAGAACAAGTACGCGCGGCAAAACCGGCCCCCAGTGGCCACCATGGCTCCCGCTTGCCGGCCATTCGGTGGTTGGGCGGCGATAAATTACAAGCAGAACTACCGCGCGCGGGGATGCGCCTTTGCGAGGACTCGGCCCCGCGCGGCGGGTTCTGCGGCCGCGCGGAGCAACTGCGACTCGAACTGGGCGGCTACTTCGCCAACGAGCAGCCCTAGCTCGCCGCGGCTGTGCTGCGAGCCGTCGTGACCGAAGGTGATGGTAGCACCTGGCGTGGTCAAGGTCGTCTTCGACCAATGCGTGGTCGGGCCTCGCGATCGTCGCGGGTGTATTTTGTGGGAAATCATCGGCCTGGTCACTGGCGCCCTGGAGATCATCGAGCAGTTCGTTAACCTGAAGTGCCCAGACATGCGCGCTCGCGTCCGTCGAAGGCCGCGACGGCCTCGACGCCTAAATTTGGCCGTAGAAGATGGCTGGACGACTCGCCCAAGATATGGCGAATCTACGTCGCCGCCTCGGGCGTGCGCGCGTCGCGAAATATGTTCGGGGGCGCGACTTCCAGGCGGCGGCCTTCCTAACAATGGCCTCCGGAGCCGCCGAGGGCGGGGTCCGGGGCGGAATCGCCGCCAGGCACGCGCGCCGCGCGCGCGGGGCGTGCGCGCGCAACGTGCGGGCGGATTCGCCAATGCGCCCCAAGGTTGTGGCAGCGCGCCGAAGCCCTCGCAGTGCTCATCCACCGGGAGTGTCCCGGCTGCCGCGCGGAGAAGGAACGCGACCGCCCTGCGCGCGCGCGAGTTCAGCAAGCGCTGATTCGCGAGCCCTCGCGCGCGGCCGCGCCCGCGCGCCGGCCGACGCCCGCGAGCGCCAACGCGATCTGGAGGCCCGCGCCGATCCAGCGATCAGCAAGATCAGCTACCTGGCGGAGCTGAGCAGCAGACGAGGCTGTCCCACCGCTGGC